AAAAAAAAAAAAAAAAAAAAAAAGGAAAAATCTTGTTTTATGAGGGCAATGGTTCTTGGATGGGAGGGGGAGTTGGAGAGTGGAGTGGAGAGAGGAGAGAATTTGATTGGTGAGTGGTGTGAACTCTTTGAAAAAGCTTTCCATGTTATTTATTCCCTGCACAGTTTGCAAGTCATTTTTTTTTTTTTTTTTTTTTTTTTAGAGATAGGGTTTCACTCATGTTACCCAGGCTGGAGTGCAATGGCGCAATCTCGGCTCACCGCAACCTCCGCCTCCTGGGTTCAGGCAATTCTCCTGCCTCAGCCTCCTGAGTAGCTGGGATTACAGGCACGCGCCACCATGCCCAGCTAATGTTTTGTATTTTTAGTAGAGACGGGGTTTCACCATGTTGACCAGGATGGTCTCGATCTCTTGACCTCGTGATCCACCCGCCTCGGCCTCCCAAAGTGCTGGGATTACAGGCGTGAGCCACCGTGCCTGGCCTGCAAGTCATTTCAATACTTTTAGTTGACAAATAATTATCACATGCTTCTATTTAAGGCATGGTGCTAGACACAGAGCCAGGAGAGGGGGCTTAAAAATTCAACTTCAGTTGACATTGCTAGTTTTGTTAGTCATATTCAGAGCACTGTGGTTAAGTTAGAGGAATGCATCTGAAGTGCTTATGAGTGAAATGATGTCAGGGATTTGCTTTTTTTTTTTTTTTTTTTTTACCCGGGTGCGGGTGGGCTGAGGCCGAAAAGGGCGTCAGCCAAGGGGTTTGCTTTAAAACACACCAGCAAAAATAAAATAGGGGAAAGGAAAGTTAAACATCTTAACTGACAAAACTAACAATCACTGAAGATAGGTGATGGATTCTTATTAGTTTGTTATATTATCTTTACATTTTTGTATACTTTAGAATATTTTCACAATAAAAGATTTTTTAAAAATTACTTTCAGCTGGGTGAGGTGGCTCATGCCTATAATCCTAGTACTTTGGGAGGCCAAGGCAGGCGGATCACATGAGCTCAGGAGTTCGAGACCAGCCTGGGCAACATGACAAAACCATGCCTCTACAAAAAATAGAAAAATTAGCTGGGCCTGGTGGTGCACACCTGTAGTCCCAGCTACTTGGTAATCTGAGGTGGGAGGATCGCTTGAGCCCGGGAGATTGAGTCTGCAGTCAGCCATGTTTGTGCCACTGCACCTTAGCCTGGGCAAGAGAGTGAGACCCTGACCCAAAAACAAAAACAAACAAACAAAAAACTTCCTTTCTTAGCTTTTTTTTTAAAAAAAAATACAAGGAAACCCCCAGGAAACCTTTGCTTTTGTTTTTTAATAGTATTGGCCTAGCTAGTCTTTCCTACTATATGGTAGAGTCACTGGTGGTAAGATAGAGTTATTTATATTGATTTTCTGAAACAGGGTACTTTTTCTTTTGACTGTGACATTGGAAAGAAAGGTATAATATTTAGGCCGGCGTAGTGGCTTACACCTGTAATCCAAGCACTTTGGAGGCCAAGGCGGGCGGATCACCTGAGGCCGAGAGCTCAAGACCAGCCTGACCAACATGGTGAAACCTCATCTTTTAATAAAAAATAAAATAAAAATAAAAAAGAAAGTATAATATTTAAATGCTTTAACACTTTTTGGTTTTGTATCCTTTATAGTTGAAGCAGTTGGAGGAAAGGCCTTGCCATGTATTGTTGATGTGAGAGATGAACAGCAAATCAGTGATGCAGTGGAGAAAGCAGTTGAGAAATTTGGAGGTAATACTTTCATTCTGACAAAATTATTGAATATTGGTAAAATAAAGGTATAACTATAATGTTAATTTTAAAATTTGTTTTGATTTTTGAATTTTCTGAGTCTTTGGAGTAATATGTATTTGCTCATGTAGAACACGGTTTAAAACCACCGATGAGGCTGGGTCTGGTGGCTCATGCCTGTAATCCTAGCACTTTGGGAGGCCAATGTGGGCGGATCACTTGAGGTCAGGAGTTTGAGACCAGCCTGGTCAACATCCGTCTTTACTACAAATACAAAAATTAGCTGGGCGTGGTGGCAGACGCCTATAATCCCAGATACTCTGGAGGCTGAGGTGGGAGAATTGTTTGAACCTGTGAAGTGAAGGTAGCAGTGAGCCGAGATTGTACCACTGCACTCCAGCCTGGGTGACAGAGCAAGACTCCGTCTCAAAAAAAAAAAAAAAAAAAAGAAAAAAAAAAGAGAGTATGGAATGATAAACAGTGGAGACTAGGAAGAAACAAGGGACGGAAGCAGGTGGATGAATAGAAATTACTTAATGGGTATGATGTTTGCTGTTTGGGTGATGGATACCCTAAAAAGTCCTGGACACTTCACAATCTATATATGTGAGAAAATGCACTTGTACCTTATACATTTATTTTTGAAAAAATTCTTCCTTTATATGCTGAAATCTCATTCTTCACAAAGTTCCCTCACCATGTCAACTAATCAGAAGTGTATTTTTCTTTCTCTGATTTCTTCAAACATTCCTTTGATCCTTATCTTATAGTATTTTATTTTATTTTATTTATTTATTTTTTTTTTGAGACGGAGTTTCGCTCTTGTTGCCCAGGCTGGAGTGCAATGGCGCGATCTCGGCTCACCGCAACCTCCGCCTCCTGGGTTCAGGCAATTCTCCTGCCTCAGCCTCCTGAGTAGCTGGGATTACAGGCATGTGCCACCATGCCCAGCTAATTTTTTGTATTTTTAGTAGAGACGGGGTTTCACCATGTTGACCAGGATGGTCTCGATCTCTTGACCTCGTGATCCACCCGCCTCGGCCTCCCAAAGTGCTGGGATTACAGGCTTGAGCCACCGCGCCCGGCCATCTTATAGTATTTTAGATCTTAGTATTTGTTTTCTCCCCAATTAGCTCACAAGTTCCTAGAAGGGAGGTGTTGGGGATTGCGCTAAGAGTTTCATGGTATCATAGTAGGGCATCTAGGCATGTTCAAGTCCTGCTTAAACCATTACCACTCTCCCTGCTAATATTCTGGAGGACGATATGCACATATGAGGGACACTGGCCAGCAGAAAAATGAGGTAATAGTGCTTTAGTGTTAGCAAGGCCGTGCTTGTAATCCCAGTGCACAGTGCTGTGGGGTCCTGGACTGAAGCACAGAGCTTTGGCTCAAGTGGAGCCTCTTCCCTTAAATCCAAAATCTTACCCCTAGCCAGCAGCCTTTCCCAAAGTAATGTGAATGCCTGTGTGAGAAGAGGAGAGAAAATGCAAAATTATGCTTTGTCGAACTGACGGGGCCCTAAATGTAAAGTGTGCCGTACTCGAATGCAGGATATTTTATCTAAAATAGCATCACCTAGTATTAAAAGTGGTTAACTAGTGCCACTTAGGATTTGATGTAATTAGTTTATCCACTAGTTTTTAGGGAGGAACTAAGGGGAGAAAGCTGAGGCTTTTCATTCTCCCATATTCATTCAGTTTTAGTTCTTTCTTTCTTTTCTTTTCTTTTTGAGACAGGCTCTCGCTCTGTCACCCAGACTGGAGTGCAGTGGCATGATTGTGGCTCACTGTAGCCTTGACCTCCTGGGCTCAGGTGATCCTCCAACCTCAGCCTCCTGAGTAGCTGGGACTACAGGCGCCTGCCACCAGGCCTAGCTAATTTTTCTATTTTTAATAGAGATGGGGTTTCACCATGTGGACCAGGCTGGTCTCAAACTCCTGACCTCAAGGGATCTACCTGCCTCAGCTTCCCAAAGTGCTAGGATTACAGGCATGAGCCACTGTGCCCAGCCTTGCATTTAGTATTTAATTTTTTAAAATTGTGGTGAAATATACATAACATAAAATTTACCATCCTAACTATTTTTAAGTCTACAGTTCAATGGCAACCAAGTGTATTATATTGTTATACAACCATCATTAAGTGTACTTTACAAAGACTAGTGAAGACCAGGTAGAAACAAAGAAAAATGTTTGACATAGTTTTTGTATTTTACCATTTTCTTTTAATGTTATTTCACTAAGCATATAACTATAAACAAAACATGTTGCTTATAGGTAGAAACTGATAGAATTTGCAGAAATAGTAGTTACTCTAGATTTATTTTGTGTATGTGTGCGTATGAGCCACTAAAACAAAATAGATCCACTTTGATGATTTGCCTGGGATTGAAACAGTAGGTCTTTCTCTTTTCCCAGTTCCCAAAACCAGAAAGGAACCTTTCCTTTTAAGTCAGGAGTCTTGGGGGAAGGGGGACCACTATGCTTGGAAGGAGGACAGGCCTTTGAACTTTATGCTAGAGAGGAAGAAAGACTTTAAGGAATTTTATCCAAAGTTTATGGAGACAGAGGACAACCAGGAGGTAAGAGAATGGATAAGGGTGGATGTTACAAACCACTAAAAACTAAGCCTCCGTGTTGTTTCACATGGAGCTCTGGCGATTGGCTATATCTCCATTGTGCTAGTGACAGTCATGCAGGTGCTATTTTGAAACAGCTACCAGTCTTGCGCTGTTATGTGGTTAGTCATATTATCTAAAAGAAGTATAGTCACACATTGCTTAATGATGGTGATGTGTTCTAAGAAAGGCATTATTAGGCGATTTCAAGATCGTGTGAACATAAAGTGTATCTACACAAACCTAGATAGTCTATTGCTTCCAGGCTACAAACCTGTCTAACATGTTTCTGTACTGTAGGCATTTGTAACACAATGGTGAGTATGTATCTGAACATATCTAGACAGAAAAAAGATAGAATAAAAATACAGTATTATAATCTCAAGGGACCATGTTGTGTATACGGTTCATTGTTGACTGAAATGTTACGTGTGGTACGTGACTGTATTTGTAAATCAACTAAGGGTTCAAAAGAGAGTAAGTGCTTTTTTGTGTGTGTGATAAAAAGTCTTAAAAATGAAATTGATTATTTTTAAAACAGGAATTGATATTTTGGTAAATAATGCCAGTGCCATTAGCTTGACCAACACATTGGAAACACCTACCAAGAGAATGGATTTGATGATGAGCGTGAACACCAGAGGCACCTACCTTGCGTAAGTTAGAAAGAAGAGTTGTGGGGGAGGATGTTGCCGTGTCTTCTCAGGGATCTTACTTCGTTGTAAACAGATTTGAGCCAAATTAGCACCATAGTTCAAAATCTGGTCAATCCTTATAAAGGTCTAAAAGTCCTCCATTCAGTCAATGGTTTTCATTTTATTTTATTTTTTGAGACGAAGTTTCACTCTTGCTGCCCAGGCTAGAGTGTAATGGTGCAATCTTGGCTCACTGCAACCTCTGCCTCCCAGGTTCAAGTGATTCTCTTTCCTTAGCCTTCAGAGTAACGGGGATTACAGGCACCCACCACCACACCCAAGCAATATTTAGTATTTTTAGTAAAGACAGGATTTCACCATGTTGGCCAGGCTGGTCTCGAACTCCTGAGCTCAGGTGATCCACCTGCCTTGGCCTCCCAAAGTGCTAGGATTAGAGGTGTGAGCCTACCATGACTGGCCCAATAATATTTTAGATCATTTTATGCAGAGTTCCTTTTCTCTATGAGTTTAGGAAAGACTAAAATAGGCTGAACATGATAGCTCACACCTGTAATTTCAGCACTTCGGTGAGGGGAGTATCATTGGAAGCCAGGAGTTCGAGACTGAGCTGCACAAGATGGTAAGACACTGTCTCTACAGAAAAAGTTTTTTAAAAATCAGGCAGGCATAGTGGAGTGTGCCTACTGAGACCGTGATGGTGGTCTCATCTACTCAGGAGGATGAGGCAAGAGGATCCCTTGAGCTCAGGAGTTTGAGGCTGCAATGATCTGTGATCACGCCACTGCACTCCAGTCTGGGTAACAGAGAAAGACTCTGTCTCTAAAGAAAAAAAAAGGACTAAAGTGTCGCTCAAACATTTTCTCAAATATTTGCATGTGTAAATACTTAACATGTGTACTGTGTCTTTCATAGGACACAGTCCTCTCCTAGGACTGTTTCTGATTTCTCAAGCCAACAATAGTATCCTTCCTCTCAAAAAGACCTGGGGTTAAAAAAAAAAAAAAGACTTGGGTTTTAGTTATATAAATAACAGTAAGGCCATTCTCATTATGAATCACACTTTAATGTCACCAATAAAAAGGCTAATACTTTTTTGGGCATTGTCAGGGAAATGTGTAATACCGAAGGAAAGAGAACGTGGTCCCGATATGTTCTGGATTTGTCAGACAATCCATCTTGTTTTCCATTTATTTATTTGTTTATTTACCCTCTGGTTCTATCGTTTTCTGTGTGGATACATAGCGTAGAACTTGCTTCTGTACCTTCTGTGTATCTTGTTATATGTACAACAGGTGGTTAGGAGCTTAGGCTTTGGAGTAAGACTGCTTGGATTCAAATCCTAACACCCCCCGCCTCATAACTTTCTATTTTGTGACCTTGGACAAGTAACTTTACTTCTTGCAGATTCAGTTTCTTTACTTTTAAAATGGCAGGAATAAAGTAGTTTGTTACAGTGTTGGTCATGAGGATTAAACGTCTTTAAGTTGTTAATTTAGTGTCCTGAATTTTGCCCTCAGATGTGTTTTGTTGGGTCTGCAAGACTTGGACCAGACAGTGTTTAAACAAAATTGTTTTCATTAGTTAACTACATACAAAGTTTTATTAGTTAGGGCTAGGTGTGACCGTTCATGCCTGTATTCCCAGTACTTTGGGAGGCTGAGGCAGGTGGATCACTTGAGCCCAGGAGTTCAAAGCCAGCCTGGGCAACATGGCAAAACCCTGTCTCTACAAAAAATAGAAAAATTAGCTGGGGATGGCGGCACACATGCCTGTAGTCCCAACTACTCAGGAAGTTGAAGTGAGAGGATTGCTTGAACCTGGGAGGCGGACGTTGCTGTTGGCTGAGATCACGCTACTGCACCCCAGCCGGGGCAATGGAGTGAGACCCTGTCTCAAAAGCTTTATTGGTTGCTTATGTTGAAAAAATTAGAAGATTTACACAAAAGTTCAGATTGGCTGGGCATGGTGGCTCACGCCTGTAATCCAAGCACTTTGGAGGCCAAGGCGGGCGGATCACCTGAGGTCGGGAGTTCAAGACCAGTCTGATCAACATGGTGAAACCCCGTCTTAAAAAAATAAAAAATAAAAAAGTTCAGATTTCTGGCTTTTCTTGAAATGTGGGAAGATCTGGCCACATAGAGACAGCATTACCACATGGCAACAGTTAATAGTTGCTGTAGCTGAGTGGCAGGGTATCAACCACCTCATTAGATGGCGCCTGAGCTCTATTGTCTTCTGGATGCTGAGAACAGGCTAACAAGTTATCATATCATCGTGCTTGCACTGTTGTTTTTCTTATATGAAAGAGGAAAGTGAAATATTTATCATAACCACATCTCTCTCTGAAGTGGGAAAATGAGACTTATGCCAAGAGGGCCGTATGTTCAAGTAAAATGGGTGAAAGCTTACTTGTTTGTAGATATGAGACATATTTCTATAAATTCAATATGTAAGGTATGTCTCTATTGAATGAAACCATATTGAATCATACCACAGTAAGAATTATGGTAAATGTCTGGGTGTGGTGGCTCATGCCTGTAATCCCTGCACTTTGGGAGGCCAAGGCAGATGGATCACCTGAGGTCAGGAGTTCAAGACCAGCCAGGCCCACATGGCGAAATCCTGTCTCTACTAAAAACATAAAAAATTAGCTGAGCGTGGTGGTACACGCCTATAATCCCAGCTACTCCAGAGGCTGAGGCAGGAGAATTGCATGGACCCAGGAGTGGAGGCTGCAATGAGCCGAGATCATGCCACTGCACTCCAGCCTGGGCGACAGAGTGAGACTCTGTCTCAAAAAGAAAAAAAGAATTTTGGCAAGCATATAGATTGCGATAAAAAACTTGCACTAGAAAAAGAATTCATTTTTCAAGAGCTTGTGTTTATTTTCAAATAAAATGGGTAATGTTGCTATGTGATACTGTTGTGTTACTAGAAGAAATTATCTGGGAATCAAAATCTTTTACAGCTGGCAACTTTGTGAAAGAATTTTCAGTTGAATGTAAGTATTTGTTAAACAAATGCTTAACAATATAAACCTAACCAGGAATACTATTGCTCAGCCTGTTGAACTATGGCTTAGTTAAGGGTATGTTGTGTGAATAAGTTTAATGCTTTGTGGCAGTTTCTATTATAGATGACGAAGCCACAGATATAAATATACAGACTGAGTATCCCTAGTCCAAAAATCCCCAATCCAGAATGCTCTGAGATCTGAAACGTTTTGAGTGCTGACTTGACACTCGAAAGAAATGCTCATTGGAACATTAAGGATTTCAGATTTTTGGAGTAGGGATGTTGAACTTGTTGAGTATAATGCAGATATTTCAGAATGAAATCTGAAATACTTCTGGTCCCAAGCATAAGGGTCACTAAGCTTGTACTACACGCCTAGGTATATTATGGCATCAGGAGAATTTTGACGTGATTAAAAAGGTTTTAGACTGGGTATTCATGACATTAAATGACTTCTAAGGTATTTACAGATGTCTTGGAAAGTTTAAGGTAGATTTGTCAAAAGAGCAATCATGACTATAGATACTGATCAGTGTCAGCTTTAGACTTATTAACATCGAAATGAATGTAGGTATATATTACGCAAGGGTACAGAAATTGTTTGTTCATTGCATCAATTGCTCCCTACTAATAAAGTTAAAAATGTACATGTTTTCTTTCCAAGAGATGATCAATACAAGTAAAGCATTGAATTTTATGTAAATTTGTCAAAATTAGTAGTCCTAACTATAGACTTGACCTTTTAAACTGACATTATGACTGATATGTACGTAAATGTATGATTCTCTTTGTTTTTTCCTTGTGAAATTATGTCTTTGGAAAGCCCATTTGGCAAGAGTAATTTGGTCCAGTTTCCTATATTGAGATCATTTTTCAAAAATGAAAGTGATGTCTTAACCCACGTTTTTAGATGTGAATGTTCAGTTAAAAACAAAACAGACCACGTGAGGTGGCTTATGCTTATAATCTCAGTACTTTGGGAGGACGAAGTGGGCAGATTGAGTTTAGGAGTTCGAGACCAACCTGGGCAACATAGTGAACCCTGTCTCTATTTTTTTTTTTTTTAATTAAAGGTAAAATTAAAACTCTAGCACAAAGATTCTATTCACTATTGAAAGTTCCTACCTTTATAAACAGCTACTTAAAAAAAAAAAAACCACTAAATAAAATTAAATGTTGCTCCCAGTTAAAAGCAGATTGCAATGCCAAATGAAAGACCACACACTGACCTTTGAGTCAAAGAAAAGTTTCAGATTTTTGGCCCTCCATGAGAGGTATGCTATAAAATGAAAATTCATAATGAAATATTTCTATTTTATTTTATTTTTACTCCCTTGGTAACACACAGAGGATATTTCTTTTTTTTTAATTTTTATTTTTCAATTTTAATTTATTTTATACACTCCAGTATTACATTGTTTGTACCATGTTAAATGCTTATAGAAGCTTGGTAGTATGGTTCAGTTGTATCTCAGAACAGTTGATTTTTCTTATGCCCAGCTCACTTTATTCGTTTACTCAAATGCTTTATAGGCCTTTGAGTTTGCAACCCTGACTAAGTAAAATAATTCATGAAAAGTAATAAAAGCAGAACCTGGCACATAGTGAGTTTTCTGTAAATGTAACTATTTTATTAGGCTGAAGGTATTAGTATCTAAGTGTGGTGCTAAGCGTTTTCAATATAATCTATAAGAAGGCATGCTACTGGGACAGATGCATCTGCTGTAGGATTAACAGTGTAAAGGTCTGGGCCAGCAAAGTGCAGACTGAAAGGTTTTATCCCATAGATTAAGGGAAAGTTTATGTTTAGAATGTAAATGAAATGAGCTCTTTCCTTTGAGTGTAAAATATGATCTTATTGACTGGGAATAGATTTGTTTCTTCTTGATGCTTCGAGTTGCAGTTTCACTGTTTGAATGAAACTCAGCTGTAATGTTTGCCCTACTTCACCTCACCTCCATAAAAGTGAAGCATTGCCAGGCGTGGTGGCCCAAGCCTGTAATCCCAGCACTTTGGGAGGCCGAGGCGGGTAGATTACGAGGTCAAGAGATTGAGATCACCCTGGTCAACATGGTGAAACCCCGTCTCTACTAAAAATACAAAACATGAGCTGGGCATGGTGGCACGTGCCTGTAATCCCAGCTACTCAGGAGGTTGAGGTGGGAGAATTGCCTGAACCCAGGAGGCAGAGGTTGCGGTGAGCCGAGATCGCGCCATTGCACTCCAGCCTGGGTAACAAGAGTGAAACTCCATCTCAAAAAAAAAAAAAAAAAAAAGTGAAGCATCTTTGGAAATGAAAACTGAGTCTACCAAAAACCTTCTTGTGGTATTGACTGTATTTGGTTTAGTAAGCTTGGTAAGGTGTTGCTGTTAATGCCAGTGTTGTACATTTGGTAATTTAAAAACTGACTTGAAAGAAGAATGAACTAGTTCATTCGCAGCTCTTGGTTCAGGGTAAAGGAAAAAAAAAAAGAATGAACTAGTTCAGAGTCCTAGAAGTCCTAGAAGTCATTGAATGTAAATGACAGCTAAATTTATAGCTAAAATAAAGCTATACATTAAGCTATAATATTTTAGCTGTTGACATTGTATAAAAATTAATATTTTAGGCCGGGCGCGGTGGCTCACGCCTATAATCCCAGCACTTTGGGAGGCCGAGGCAGGTGGATCACAAGGTCAAGAGATTGAGACCATCCTGGTCAACATGGTGAAACCCCGTCTCTACTAAAAATACAAAAATTAGCTGGGCATGGTGGCGCGCACCTGTAGTCCCAGCTACTTGGGAAGCTGAGGCAGGAGAATTGCTTGAACCCAGGAGGCGGAGGTTGCGGTGAGCCGAGATCACGCCATTGCACTGCAGCCTGGGTAACAAGAGCCAAACTCCGTCTCAAAAACAAAAAAAAAATTAACATTTTAGAAATATTGGTCTGAACCTTTTATAAAATAAATTACCTACCTTAATGAGTGACTTTTTAAAAATAAAGCTATACATTGGACCCAAAGGCATATTTTATATTGGTGAAAATTAAATTTGGGAATGTAGTGAGTGTTATATTACTAAATTATAGTTCCAGTGCAGTGGAAGTACTACGCCTATTACGAGGAAAAAAATCAGCATACATTATACTAAAAACAGCGATAGTTTATTTCACGTATAGTATATACATTGTCCTAAGTATCTCATATAAATCATCTAATTTTAATCTTTTGGTCAATCATAGAAGGTATCGAGTATTACCAACATTTACAGAGGAGAGAACTGAGCTACACAATTTGTCCAAGGTCACACAATGAAGGGGCAGAAGCAGAACTTGAACGCTGGTCTGTCTGACTTGAGCACTCATGTTATTTACCACTGTGTTGACTGACAAGTACATTAACTGTCTCTGAAAATTGTGTGTGTTGGGGAGGCAGAATTTGGGATGGTTGTGGTTGCAGATAAAGTTGGGCTTAAGGCTAGTATGTGAAGGAATTGATTTTTTCCTTCAAGCAGATAATGTTGTCAGGCCATTAAGCAGAATTTCAAAGGATGAAAATTAGTTGCTTTTTCTGTCTTTATTCTAGAAAGCAAACAAAAGTACCCTATGAACAAAGCAAACAAATAGTCCCCTACAGATTTCTGAGCAAGTTCTTCCCTGTAGGAGTAGTTTAAAATATATCTTTGGCCGGGCGTGGTGGCTCAAGCCTGTAATCCCAGCACTTTGGGAGGCCGAGGCAGGTGGATCACGAGGTCAAGAGATCGAGACCATCCTGGTCAACATGGTGAAACCCCGTCTCTACTAAAAATACAAAAAATTAGCTGAGCATGGTGGTGCGTGCCTGTAATCCCAGCTACTCAGGAGGCTGAGGCAGGAGAATTGCCTGAACCCGGGAGGCGGAGGTTGCGGTGAGCCGAGATCGCACAATTGCATTCCAGCCTAGGTAACAAAAGTGATACAAAAACTATCCAGGTAGCTGGGCATGCTGGCACACACCTATGGTCCCAGCTATTCAGGAGACTGAGGTGAGAGGACTTGCTTGAGTCGGGGAGGCAGAGGCTGCAATGAGATGTTATCATGTCACTGCACTCCAGCCTGACAACAGGGAGACCCTGTCTTTTTTTTTTTTTTTTCTTCTCCTTGAGACAGAATCTCACTCTGTCACCTAGGCTGGAGTGCAGTGGCAAGATTTCGGCTCACTGCAACCTCCGCCTCGCGGGTTCAAGCAATTCTCCTGCCTCAGCCTCCCAAGTAGCTGGGACTATAGGTGCCTGCCACCACACCCAGCTGTTTTGTATTTTTTTTTTTTTTTTTTTTGAGACGGAGTTTCACTCTTGTTACCCAGGCTGGAGTGCAATGGCGCGATCTCGGCTCACCGCAACCTCCGCCTCCTGGGTTCAGGCAATTCTCCTGCCTCAGCCTCCTGAGTAGCTGGGATTACAGGCACGCGCCACCATGCCCAGCTAATTTTTTGTATTTTTAGTAGAGACGGGGTTTCACCATGTTGACCAGGATGGTCTCGATCTCTTGACCTCGTGATCCACCTGCCTCGGCCTCCCAAAGTGCTGGGATTACAGGCGTGAGCCATTGCGCCCGGCCTTGTTTCGTATTTTTAACAGAGATGTGGTTTCACTATGTTGGCCAGGCTGGTCTTGAACTCCTGACCTTGTGATCTGCCTGCCTCGGCCTCCTAAAGTGTTATGATTGCAGGCATGAGCCACCACGCCTGGCCAAGAGACCTTGTCTTAAAATTAAAAGAAAAATAAAATGGAGAAGTTGGCTGGGTACAGTGGTGTAAACCTGTAATCCTGGCACTTTGGGAGTATGAAGTAGGAGGTGCTTGAGCCCAAGGAGTTCAAGACCAGCCTGGGCAACAAAGCTAGACCCTGTCTCTAATTATAAAAATCAGCTGGGCATAGTGGTACACAGCTGTAGTTCCAGCTACTCAGAAATCTGAGGCAGGAAGATTGCCTGAGCCCAGGAGCACAGGAGCTCAAGGCTGCAGTGAATTGTGATTGAGCCCTGCACCCCAGCCTGGGCAACAGAGCAAGGCCCCATCTCTTTTTTTTTTTTTTTTTTGAGACGGAGTTTCACTCATGTTACCCAGGCTGGAGTGCAATGGCGCGATCTCGGCTCACCGCAACCTCCGCCTCCTGGGTTCAGGCAATTCTCCTGCCTCAGCCTCCTGAGTAGCTGGGATTACAGGCACGCACCACCATGCCCAGCTAATTTTTTGTATTTTTAGTAGAGACGGGGTTTCACCATGTTGACCAGGATGGTTTCGATCTCTTGACCTCGTGATCCACCCGCCTCGGCCTCCCAAAGTGCTGGGATTACCGGCTTGAGCCACCGCGCCCGGCCAGGCCCCATCTCTTAAAAAAAAAAAAAAAAAAAAAAAAAAAAAAAAAAAAGTGGGGAAATGGTTAGAAAGCTATTAACTTGACTTGTATTTTCTTTTGCTTTCAGATCTAAAGCATGTATTCCTTATTTGAAAAAGAGCAAAGTTGCTCATATCCTCAATCTCAGTCCACCACTGAACTTAAATCCAATTTGGTTCAAACAGCACTGTGGTAGGTGTTAGGGTGAGGGGATGGTTTGTGCTTAATTTGTTTCGAATTAAATCTGTGTACGTCTGATGTAATCACATCTGCACATAACATTCAGCATTGAATTTTGTATGCCAAATTATAAAGTGGCATTGGAAGGTAGATTCTTAATCTTTTATATGTAATTTTTATAACTGAGGCATAATTTACATTCAATAAAATGCACAGATCTTAATGGTTCAATATAATGAGTTTTGACAAATGTATATAACCAACACCCAAATCAAGATGTAGATTTTTACCATTTCAGAAAGCTCTTTCACTGCCCAATGAGTGTGTTTTATTGTGTGTCTTTTTTTTTTTTTTTTTTTTTTTGGAGACAGAGTCTTGCTCTGTCGCCAGGCGCCAGGCTGGAGTGCAGTGGCAGGATCTCAGCTCACTGCAGCCTCTGCCTCCTGGGTTCAAGCAATTCTCCTGCCTCAGCCTTCCAAGTAGCTGCGACTACAGGTGCATGCCACCATGCCCAGCTAATTTTTGTATTTTAGTAAAGATGGGGTTTCACCGTGTTGGCCAGGATGGTCTCGATCTCTTGACCTCATGATCCTCCCGCCTTGGCCGATTACAGGCGTGAGCCACCGCGCCCAGCCTTGTTGTGTGTAATTTATTCTTCAATCAAGTTGGTTAAAAACTATTTATGAGATACTTTATTTTTCTTAGCCAGGTGTGCACCTGTAGTCCTAGCTACTTGGGAGGCTGAGGTGGGAGGATCGCTTGAGCCCAGGAGTTTGAGGCTAAAATGGGCTATGATCATGGCACTGCACTCCAGCCTCATGACAGAGTGAGACCGTGACTCTAAAAAACACAAACAAAAATGACAAGAAAAACCCCAACTCTATTACCTTTCATAGCAAACTAATGGTTTAAGGCAAATATGCTAAGCAACAAGATTTATGTATAGGTGCCTCCTTTAAAATAGTTGTATCAAACACTTAGTTTTTATTTCAGCATAATTCTAACATTTGGAAAGGCACTTGGAATGGGGATCCACAAAGCAAAACTGAAAGAAGTTCTACTTTCATTGACTAGGTTAAATACATTTGCAGCCTTTTTTTTTAATGAAACTCTTCACAGATTTGCATGTCATCCTCGCGCAGGGGCCATGCTAATATTCTCTGTATCGTTCCAGTTTTAGTACATGTGCTGCTGAAGCAAGCACTGCAGCCTTTTTTTATTGTTGTTTTACTAGCGGTAGTTTTCCTTAAAATAATCACTTTCATTCTGAAAAAAAAAAAGAGTCCAGGTGCGTTGGCTCATGTCTGTAATCCCAGCACTTTGGGAGGCTGAGGCAGGCAGATCACTTGAGGTCAGGAGTTTGGGACCAGCCTGGCCAACATAGTGAAACCCGGTCGCTACAAAAATACAAAAATTAGCTGGGCATGGTGGCACACACCTGTAATCCCAGCTACTTGGGAGGCTGAGGCACAAGAATCATTTGAACCTGGGAGGCAGAGTTTGCAGTGAGCCAAGATCTCACCACTGCACTCCAGCCTGGGTGACAGAGTGAAACTGTGTCTCAAAAAAAAAAAAAAAGAAAGAAAAGGAAAAACAAGGCCGGACGCAGTGGCTCAAGCCTGTAATCCCAGCACTTTGGGAGGCCGAGGCGGGTGGATCACGAGGTCAAGAGATCGAAACCATCCTGGTCAACATGGTGAAACCCCGTCTCTACTAAAA